TCAAAACAGATGCAACCCTGGATGTATGTGCTCACCAGTTTGTGCTAAGAAATTTGGAAGACAGCTGGCCAACTCCTGGAAGAGAACCGTTATGTTTTCATTCCCAAATAATATTAACCTGGTATATAGTGACATCCACTTCCTAAATAACATTCCTCTGGAAACTCTATGAACTTCGATAAATGTTGATAGTTGTAGAGGGGCTTCAAGCCTTTTGTTCATAGGGTCACTATGAGTCGTGCTCAACTTGAAGGCAATCAACAACAACAATAACATAATATTTCTTATTAATAAAGAAAATTCTTATTATTTAAAGCAAAATATATAACCCAATATTTCCAGTCACCCAGAGTCAGGTTAGTAAACAGAATAAAATCCTCAGGGTGACGTTTGTTATCATGCTCACTACCTTCCTTATTATCTTAATTGACTAACTAAACCTCAAAACATGACAAATTCTGGAAATTTCAAATATAGATTACTTTGTAGGTTACCACTGGGATAATTGGTAGCATCATGATATATGATGAAGAGACTGAGATTGTGAACAGCTTCAGCTAGTTTGGCTTCACAATCAGCACTCTTCTTACCAGCAGCCAGGATGTGAAAAGACAAATTGCACTGGGAAAATCTGCTGTCAGGGACCTCTCCAGTGTACTGAAGAGCAACAATGTCAACCTGGCCATGATCCAGGCCATGGTCTTTACAATTACTTGCTATGTATCAGAAAGCTGGACAGTGACTAAGGATGATAGAAGAAATGATGCCTTTGAATTGTGGTCCTGGAGAAGAGCATTGAACATACCATGGAGTGCTAAGAGAACAAATAGATTTGTCCTAGAGAGAGTGAAACCAGGTTGCTCCTTGGAGGCAAGGATTTAGAAACTGTATCACATATACTTTGGGCATGTTGCAAGAAGGGACCACTCCTTGAAGAGGAACATCAGGCTTGGAATGGTGGAGGGACAGTACAAGGGAGGAAGACCCTAGATGAGATGGATTGGCTCAGTGAGTGGAATAATAGGGATAGGTGAATCAGAGATAATGAGATTGGCTCAGGGTAGAGCAGGGTTCAGAGCTGTTGTACCTGGGGTTGCTATGAATGGCAGGAGATTCCAGGGCACGTAACAACAGATTAATGGTAAAATACGAAGAAATACTGAGTATGACATCACTTCCTCATCTGCATCAGGAAGGAATCTGAGTACTCACTTTAAATAGCTGCCTTCCTTAACATCTGTATTAGAATTCTCTTTTCTTCCCTGAAGGATAAGAAAGACACACTTCTTTTTTTCCCCGAGGAGCTTAAGAAGGACAAATTTTGCTAACCAAAATGTTATTGTTGTATGTGCCATCAACTCACCTGTGACTCATAACAATCTTACGTACAATAGCCCTAAACCCTGCTTTATCCTGTGCCAATCTTATTGCCTCTGACACACCTACCACCATTACCCCAGTCACTGAATCAATTCATCTCATCAAGGGTTTTCCTCTCCTGTGCTGTTTCTCCATCCTCCCAAGCATGACATCCCTCTCCAAGGACTGGTCCCTCCTTGAAACATGCCCAAAGTATGTCAGATGAAGCTTAAGAATCCTTGCCTCTAAGAAGCAGCCTGGCTCCGCCCTCTCCAGAACAAACCAAAATATCCAAGAAAAAGACTCTTAATATCACTATCACTGGTGGCAAGAATGATTTGGAGAGGAAGATAGATCACATTTCCTTCCATCACTCTTTTTCTATACACCTGACAACATTCAGCTCTTTCTTACAATAAAACAAACAAATGGATTGAGACATTGTGGCATATTCACACAATGGAATGCTGCACTCCGGAACAACAATTTAGAAAAATACTATACAACATGGAAAAGGGTAGAAAGCATTATGCTGAGTGATCTATCTCAATCTCATAAGGACAAATGCTGCATAGGACCATTAGTGTAAAAATAGAAGGCTAACTAGTAAGATGTGTGTAGAAGTCCAAAGGTGAAAGAGAGTGTGGGGGAGTTTAGAGTGTCACTGTAGAGGAAGGAAAAAATATGTACTTTTAACTCGTATAACTGGGCTTAGTGCACACATTGCTTGCATAAAGTTACAGCCCAGACTTTTACTTAATATCAGTGACAAAATTCAAATGAAGGGTTTTTATTTAAAACCCCAGGAAATAAAGTTACATAATTTCTTTGAAAAATTTTGTCATGCTCATTGCAGACAATGGAAATATAAGTACAAAAATTGTGCCAATTATTTATGTTTCCAAAAGTGACCAATTAGCTGCCTCCAGGGATTCAGCCTAGTTCTTGCTCTCTGCCCTGTGTTCTTTAACATGTAATGAGGCTTGAGAGACTGTGATTTCTGCACATTGGTCCAGTATATCCTGCTTGATGACCAAATATAGTCTTGTAGAAAAACTTGCAGAGATATTACAGAAACATGCTTAGAGAGTTTAATCTTTGATGAAGCAGAATAAGGATGCTCTTATACACAGAAAAGGATAGATATGATAGATTAGTTTTGTTTACCAAAGGATGACTTAGAACAGATGTGCTGGTGACATTTTTTGGTAGTAGTTGTCTCTACTACCGTCAGGGATAGACAGTCAGAAGGAGCAGCTGGTTTGTGTTAGCTGGTGCAGGATGTGAAAAACATGTTGCGTATGAGGGTGGGCTTTTAGCCATAGGAGGAGGAAAAATCAGCCTTTCACAAGAACACTAGAATTGATCAAGCTTCAGTTCAACTTCAAGGACAATGAAATGTGGCTGATGTTATACACTTTGCTCCTTTCTGAAGACTCAGTTTTTGAGTTACCATGTAGCCAATACCTCACTGAAGTATGAAGCCTTCCAAGCTGTTCTTGTCACTCAAAGCTATCCCTCCAGCAGGCTTTCAGGGGCTGTAAAGCAAAACAGGAGTAGATTATAAACCTTTCTTCCTCAGATAAACTGGTGGATTCGAATCACCAGCCTTCAGATTGGCAGCATAACTTCTTACTACAATGGCCCCAGATCATTCCAAGATGTAGAGAACCCAGACATAGGGGTTTTTTTGGTCTGGTGTATCATGAAGATATGATGTCATACTAAGACAATGGGCTATGACAAATGAATTTCCTTTCCCTCTCAGATCATTGAAAGTTCTGGATTTCTTGGAAGAGAATAGTTGGAAACCTGTCCCATGAGGTGATTTGTGTCAGTGCTTGTCCTTGGTGAGCCATGAAGACTTTTTCCTCCTGTTGCTGTGATCCAGTACTCAAGTAGAGACTTCTTCAGGCAGCTTTGTGGGCAACACAGCTCAGAGATAATGAGTTATGTTGTATGAGCAGGCAGGCATTCTGAAAACAGTCCATAGAGGTGAGTGACAAGCTCTGTACTTCATACATTTCTCTCAGGACACCAAAGTAAAAAAACACCATCATTAAGGGGTTATTGAGTGTACTAAACAAAGGAGATGTTTCACTGATTTTTTATATGATTCAGAAGGTTTCAATTCCAAGAATGTTCTTCTAAAAGGATCATCCAAACAAATGCTATGACATGGGATTCTATTAAATATATAGAATCTTGGGAAAATGTTGTCAAGCCCTTGACTGAATATTTATAACATGTTATTGACTAAGTCTGACATCATTAACTTCTAATACCTTCTTCTTTCAGATAGCTATGCAAAACCAAAATAATATTGAAGGCTCACATTATTCTGAAAAGTCAATTAGTCATCAGTGATATTAAAAACCAGAAGTGATTTTAAAGCTAGACCCTTTAAAAAGAGAGATTAATAAGACTGAGAAAATTTCAAGAACAGATTTTCTTCTATTTAAAAATATTTTCTTGCAGCAGTTTAGAAAAAACAAGGGCTTTTGATTCAGGAGGACCTGGCTGGAGGCCTAGCTCCACATAACCTGCTTTTGGACCTGGCCTTTCTGATCCTCTCTAAGACTCAATTTCTACTTCTGAGAGCCTGGGATAATAGACTACACATTATTAGTGTGAATGGAGCTTAATATAACAATTAGTTTATGTCACCAGCATAGTATGAAGTACTAGTAAAGTTCTCAACAAATGGAGATGATATTGACAAAGATAATGATAAAAATGATGATGATAATTTGATAGTAATGATGATAATTTGAACCAAATAATTTGTTGCCTACTTTAAAAAAACCTGTTCAAAAGGATTATCTCTACTATTACTGCTATGTTTTATTTAAAAATTAGCTACATGATACAATAAATAATTTTATGCAAATGTTAATAAACCCATTTACAGAACATACTATGCAATCTATTTAATAATATACTAATGATGTGATATTACAAGCAGAGTATGAGAAATATATAGATACATATACATGGCAGCCAAGTAAGTTATAATATTTGTCTTATTTATTCTTGCAAGTACATAAACAAATAGATCCTACAGTTATGTTTTAGATGATGAAAATAAAGTTCAGGAGATTAAAAACATTTTCATGGATGACTCATATCTCAAAACTTAGTTACACCTAGTATTGAACTCAGATCCTTTTGATTCTAAAATAAACTCATGATATCAACCTGCTAGCCTTATTCTCAAATAAGACTGAGAAAAACCGGATGAAATATGTTTACGGCATTGAAATGTATGGGGGAGAGAATAGTCTAAAAGTATTATATTTTAGGGCATTATTTTTATCGTAGGAGTATGCAATGAGGGTTGTAGAGTGGATTATATTTGGGGCTAGGGGGTGGGGTTTGGGGAGGTGGGGGGGGATAGTGTACCAATGAGGGAGTTTTTCTTTTACTTTTCAAGGAGAGGAGCAAATTGGGGGGGGAGGGGGGAGGGGTTTGTGCGGGGAGAAGGGTGCAACAATGAATGAATGGAATCCCAAAATCTCTGTAGATGTTCATTGAAATGAAAAATAAACAACCTAAATTTAAAAAAAAAAAAAAACAAACTCCATACTCAGCTGTGATCTCTAGCATGGATTTAAACATACAGTTGGTGCTGCTATAGAAAAATGATACCTGTGGAAATGAAGAATGAGACCACTGTCCAGGTGTTCATCCTGGAGGGCTTTTCTGCTGTCCAGCACCTGGGAAAAGTCCTCTTCCTGGTGCACCTGCTGGCATACCTGGCATCCATCACAGGAAATGCGGTCATAGTCACTATCATCTGCATTGATATTCGTCTCCACACCCCAATGTACTTTTTTCTCAGCATATTTTCTTTTTGTGAATGTTGCTTTACAAAGTTATTCCTAAATTGATGGTCATCTTTCTATCAGGCAGACAAACTATTTCCTTTGCTGCCTGTTTCATACAAGCCTTTGTATTTGTGTATCTTGGGGCAGCAGGTTTCCTCTTAATAGCTGTGATGTCTCTGGATCGGTACATGGCTATTTGCAGACCACTGTATTACCACACTATCATGAACCTGAGGACTTCTCTGCTCCTGGTCACTGTTTGCTTTGCTTTGGCTTTCATTCTCATCACTGGTCTAATGGTAAAAATTTCCCAATTATCCTTCTGTGGTCCCAATATTATCCCTCACTTCTTCTGTGACCTTGGCCCCCTGATCCACCTCTCCTGTTCTACCACCAAATTTGTTGAAATGTTGGCTTTCTTTCTGGCTTTGTTTATCCTTATTACATCCCTTATTATAACCATCACTGCATACAGTCACAATTATTCATCTCCCAACAGTCAAGGAACGACAGAAAGCTTTCTCTACCTGCTCATCTCACCTTATTGTCCTCTTTCTGATGTATGGCAGTTGTGTCTTTATATATGTGAAACCAAAACAATCCAGCAGACTGGACTCCAATAAAGAGGCTGCCCTTGTGAACACTGTGTTTACCCCACTACTGAACCCCATCATCTACACGCTACGGAATAAACAAGTACACCAGGCTCTGAAAGAGAACATGTGTAGAATGAGAACAGCAAGATAAAAAGAAATCATATGACATCAAAGTGGAAAACTTCTGTGAACTATTTGTCGACATTTAAAGCCAATGTAGCAATTTGTAGAATACCTGGTAAAGAATCCCAGACCAAATTCACTTAATGTCTGCTCTATGTCTCCAGAAAAATATAAATCTATTTTTCAAGAGCACATTTTATATTAATGTACATAATTATCTTTCCCCTAAATCTCTCACTTATTGATAATAATAAATTTTAATATTCTCAGTTACTAAAATTTAGCAATTCACACTCTATTTCACTTTTCTTTAGGCATAAATATGAATAAGCAAAATTAGTAACTGTTTTCCAAATGAGAATTATTATTGTTGTTATGTGCTATCAAATCATCTGTGACACATAGCAAGCCTATGCATAACAGGTCTGAACCCTGCCCTTTACAGAGCTGAAATCACAGTCTGCTACATCTGCCCCCATTGCCCCAGTCACTTTGTCAATCCATCTCATTCAAGGGTATTCCTCTTTTCCACAGTCCCTCCACCTTCCTGAGCATGATGTCCTTTTCCAAGGACTGGTTCCTCCAGGGGCAACTTGTCCAAAGTATGTGAAATAGGCTTTCAAAATCCTTGCCTCCAAAGAGCCACTTGACTTCACACTCTCCAAGACAAATCTGTTTTCCTGGAAGTCTATGGTATATTCAATACTCTTCTCCAGCACCACAATTCAAAGGCACCAATTTTCATTCTATTATCCCTAGTCATTGTACAGCTTTTTGATGCATAGCACATAACTGCTAAGACCATAGCCTGCATCAGGCTCAACTTAGTCTCCAGACTGACATCGTTGCTCCTCAGTACATTGGAGAGGTCTCTGACAGCAGATTTTCCCAATGCAATTCATCTTTTAATTTCCTAGCTGCTGGTACCAAGAGTGTTGATTGTAGAGCCAGGCAAACTAAAGCTGTCAACACTCTCAGTCTCTTCACTATCTATCATGATGCTGCCAATCAGCTCAGATGCGAGAATCTTTGTTTTCTTGATGTTGTGCTTTAATACATATTGAAGGCTGCAATCCTTGACTTTTTGCAGCAAGTGCTTCAGGTCCTCCTCAGTTTCAGCAATCAAGGTTGTGTCATCTGCATATTTCAGGTAGTTTATCTCCAATCCTGAAGCCACATTCCAGGTACAGAGATAGGACACATCCCTGGCGAACACCCTTCCCTATTCTAAACCATGCAATATTTCCTTCCTCTGTTCTGACGACTGCCTCCTGATCCAAGTATAGGTTTGACATAAGCACCATCAAGTGTTCTAGGATTCCCATTCTTCTCAGAGTTAGCCACAGCTTATTGTGATCCACACAATCATATGTCTTTGCATAGTCAAATTCTTTAGAAAATTCTTTTCCTTTTTCCTTGTTGTGTACCATAGAATCAGGTCTGACTGGTGCAGGAAGAGATTGCTCCTCCTCCAGCGGAGCACCTGGTGGATTCAAACTGCATCCCTTCAAGATTGTAGCACAGATTCTTGCCACTAGGTCACCAGAACTCCTATAAAATTCTTTAGATACAGAAAATAAAGGAGGATTTTATATTGTAGTTGGATTATGAAAAAAGAATTATGTAAATTGCATTAGTCCTTAAGGCCATCTTCTGCCAATGATTATCATGGTATCTTTCACCTTGGGATATGTATTGCTTATATCTGATGTGCTGTGAATTGGTGTCCTTGTTCTTTGGCTCATTTACACATGTCTACATAGTTTTCATGCTGAGTAGGATTAGTTCTGTATTGTATCTCAGTACTGTATTTTATCTTAGTCCATTATCCAGGGGAAAGAATAGCTCACAACTCACTAATCCTCTGATTTTTCTAACTATTTTTTTCTTAGCATGAGTCTCTCAGAGCAATTCATATTTCTGTTAACACAGAAGGGGGGTGGTGCGTGCGCAAGAGAGAGAGAGAGAGAGAGGAAGATAGACATTTATTCAACATTTATACAATATCTTTCTAAGAAGGTTATGAAAACTATTTACTAATCTACTTTATTATAAATAAAAATAATTTAACAAAATAAACTTCTTTTTCCTGGTGAACTTGCCAACTCTAAGATTATTTTCTAATTGGTTATTTTAAAACAACATTTTCATTCTCTGAATCTTGATACTTTATGTGGCTTTTATTCTTATTTCCAAGGATACAAACATATCAGTTTTAAATTAGAGGAAATATCTCTAAAAAGCTGACATTTATTTCTTTTTGTTTCTAAAAGAAAACGTAATTGCTGTTGTGTACCATAGAGTCGGAACCGACCCATAGCTGACCCTCCAGTGGGTTTTCAGAGGCAGTTAATTACATGAAAGGAGATTTGCCTATATTTTTTCCATGGAGCAGCTTGTGGCCTTCAACTGCGTGCATTTTTTCCAGAGTGTAGTGCAGCTTAAATAATCACAAATAAAATTTTATGAGATATATACTACGCTGTCAAGTCTAGTATAGCCCATGTTACCCTAAGAACAACAGATCTCAACCCCGTCCTAGCCTGTGTTATCCGCACACTTCCAGACACACTCAAGCCCATTGGTTATATTCATTGTGTCAATCAAAATGGTTGAGGGTCTTCCTCTCCTTAGTCCATCCTCCATCTTTCCAAGCATGATGTCCCTCCCCAAGAAATAGCCTCTCCTAGTAACATGCCTGAAGTAGAAGTATGTGAGATGAGCTTTATTATATTTGCCTCCAAGGTTTACTCTGCCTACATACACCTTTAGCACTTTGGAAAAGTTCTTGACATATTATTCCCAACATAACACAAGATGGATCTAGGCTGAAAGTAGAGAGTTCCAAAGGAATGTCTATCTGTGTTTCACTGACTATGCAAAGGCATTTGACTGTATGGATCACAACAAACTGTGGCTGACTCTAAGAAGAATAGGAATCCCAGAATATTTGATTGTGCTTATACAAAACCTATTATTGGACCAGGAAGCAGTTGTCAGAACAGAACAAGAGAACATTGCATGGTTCAAAAATAGGAAGGGTGTACGCCAAGGATGTGTCCTGTACATTTTCAAACTATATGCAGAACAGATTATCTGGGAGACTGGACTCTATGAGGAGAAATGTGACATCAGGATTGGAAGAAGACTCATCAACAAACTGTTCTGCTGATGATGCAATCTTGCTTGCTGAAACTGATAGGATCAGAAATACTTGCTACTAATATGGATTGAAGCTCAACTTCAAGAAAACAAAGATTCCCCCCATTGGGCTAATTGGCAGCAGTATGATAGATGGTGAAGAGATTGAGATTGTTAACAGCTTTAGTTTGCTTGGCTCCACAATCAACACTCTCGGTACCAGCAGCCAGGAAATCAAGAGATGCATTGAATTGGGAAAGTTGGCTGTCAGGGACCTCTCCAGAGTACTGAAAAGCAATGATGTCAGCCTGGAGACTAAGGTGTGCCTGATCCAGACCATAGTCTTCGCAAAATTTTGCTATGTGTCAGAGAGATGGACAATGACTAGGGATAATAGAAAGAGAACTGATGCCTTTGAGCTGTGGTGTTGGAGAAGAGTGTTGAATATCATGGACTGCCAGGAGAACAAACAGGTTCATCCTAGAGAGGGTGAAGCCACACTGCTCCTTGAAGGAAAGAATTCTGAGGCTTTATCTGACATAGTTTGGGCATATTGCATGGAGAGACCATTCCTTAGAGAGGGACATCATGTTTGGAATGGTGGAGGGGTGGAGAAAGAGAGGGAAACCCTCGATGAGATGGATTGATACAGTGACTGGGTTAATGAGGGTAGGTGTGTCAGAGACAGTAAAGTTGTCACAGGATAGAGCAGGGCTCTATTCTATTTCAGGGCTGTTGTACACTATGAGTCACAAGTAACTCTATGGCACACAACAGCAGAACAACACATCTCTTGAGTTCTTGACAGTTGTTACCATGAGTGGTGATTGTGGATTCAAGTAAATGAAACTGGAAAACTACACTCTTTCCCTAATGTTGCCTATTCATTCAAAGGTTAGAATTTTTGTTTTCTTGATGTTGATATGTAATGTATATGTAATATAATAGATTACTTTGGATTGTACCCTGATCACTCCTCTGTGTGTGTCCTGTTTGGAAATGTAGTGTGTTCATAATAACATTATAAAGAATTCTACTTTTTTATTTCTTCAACACCCAAAATTTGTTTAACAGAAAGCTTTTTTCATTTATTCATAAAATTCTTTCATTGTTGAACATTTTCTCCTCTCCTTTACCTCCCCCTACCCAACCCACCCTGCAATGCACCCCCTGCTCCAGATTGTTGTCATACATATATAGTTGTTGATTGCCTTTGAGTCAACCATGATTCATAGCGACCCTACAAACAAAAGGCCTGATGCCCCTCTACAACTATCGACATTTATCAAAGTTCATAGTTTCCAGAGTCATATTGTTTAGGAAGTGGATGGCACTCCTGCTTTTAAAATAGATGCCTCATCATATTCTTTTCAGACAGTTCTTCCCCTTATCTGTTCTAATGCAGTGTTCATTATCTTTCTACTCTTTTCCCAAGCCCCAGTTGTCTATCCTATTTTGTAACAGTGGTGTTATGCAATGTTTGTCCTTTTGTGACTGAGATACTTCACTCAGCATAAAGTGTCCTCAAGGATCTCCCATCTTGTGTAATGTGTTATGTGTTCATTTCTATCCATTCCTTTGTTGATGTGCACTTGGGTTGCTTTAATCTCTTTGTGATTGTGAATAGCACAGCAATAAACATGGATGTTCATACATCTGTTTGAGTCATGGCTCTGGTTTCTTTAAGGTATATTTCCAGTAGTGGAATTGCTGGGTCAAATGATATTTCTATTTAAAACTTTTTGAGAAAGTGCCAGACTACCTTGCATAGTGGTTGTACCATTTTACATTCCTACCAGTAATGAATAAGAGTTCCAATTTGGCATGATACATTCA